TTTGCAATTACTTTTCTTTTTCTAAAATGTTTTATTACAGGTTTATGAAGTTCATTTGCAAGTTCATCAGTCCACTTCAAGTTTTTGCTTTTTTTCCTCTGCGCTGGTAGTTTTTTTGACATAATTCTTTAATACTCATTGGCTCTTTATTTCCCATACCAAACCTTACTTTAGCAGATATGATAGGTTTTATAATCTTTCTTTCCAATTTTTCACGAGGTGTAGGATTAGGTATAGCATCCATTTGTTCAAGCATCATTTTATCAGCTAAATTTCTATGCTCTTTATCTGGATAATGCTTATAAGCAAGATCATGAATATAAGCTGTTTTATCAACTCTATCTACAGGCATGCTCCATTCTTTAGGCATCTCAGTAGAAGTTAATCTTTCATCTAAATTAGTACCAGGTCCTGCAAAGTTCATACCTGGTATATGCATTTCACCTGGAAACTTTTGCAAAGGTAATTTTTTATTACTTGTAAATTTATTAATAGAATCTACCAAATCACCTCCTTTTTTAGCTCTTTCAGTTCCTTTTGTAAATTGACATTTTCTTGTTCCACAGATTGCACAATTTCCACATATTATATTTCTTTTGTTTTTACTCACAGCATGTTGTAAGTTGAGTGTATCTGTTTTGTTTTTACATTTAACGCAGTACATTTTTTATATATGTATTTTAATTTATTTAACACAAATCTATTTAAAAAATACTTTTCATAAATAAAAAATGGAAATTATAGATTTATCATGGAATGTAAATAAAAGTAAACGCCATAATAATGAGTTATTACCTAAAAGTATAAGAGGTATTATTGTTGGAAAATCAGGTTGTGGAAAGACAACATTATTATTAAACTTGCTCTTAAGACCTGATTGGTTAGACTATAATCATTTACAAGTTTTTGGAAAGTCACTTTTTCAACCTGAATACAAAATATTAAAAAATTCTTTTGAAAATAAATTACCAAAAGAAGTTATTCTTAAACTATTTGAGTTGCAAGATCAAATAAATAAAAACAATGTAAGTCCAGAGTTTATTATTAAAAACATTTCAAGAGATTTAAAAGATAAAACAGATATAGAGTGTAAATTTTTTGAAACAGCAGAGGATGTTCCAGAACCTGAAAGTCTTAACTCTATTAAAAATAATTTAATGATATTTGATGATTTACAATTAACAAAACAAAACAAGTGTGAAAAGTACTATATAAGAGGAAGACATAGCAATGTTGATTGTTTCTACTTGGCACAAAATTATTTTAAGTTGCCTAGGAGAACGATAAGAGAAAATGCAAATTTTATATGCTTGTTTAAACAAGATTCTAAAAATGTAAATCATATTTATAATGACCATGTTTCAAATGATATGAAATTAGATGAGTTTAAAAAGTTTTGTAATGAAGCTTGGTCAAAAAAGCATAGATTTGTTGTTATAGATTTGTCTTCTGATTTATTAAATGGAAAGTATAGAAGTGGGTTAGATTTATTTTATTATCCAACTTCATTGTGGAATCGATAAATATATATTTTTTAAAAAATATATATTATAAGTTAGCATGGGTCACTTCATGACCTAAAGAAGAAGACCTAATAATGGTATATTCTTAAATGGAGAATTTTCTCCTAATAACAAACCTCTACCTACTGATGAATATTCATTTCCATTTTTAGAATAATATCCATCTAAATAATTATAACTACCATTCCATGGGTTTAAAAATACTCTTTTTCCTACTTTTCTAATTTTAAATCCATAACCATTCTTTTTTCCATAAATAATACCATTTCCAGCAATTTTATTAACTATAGTACTTCCAGCAGCTGCAGCTGTTCCAGTCAATAATCCTGTTGCTATAGCCGGAACAACTTTTGATGCAATTACACTTCCAATTAATCCTAGTAGAGGTAAAAATCAACCATTTTTTTTAGCATTATGTTTAAGTTGTGCTCTACTCAGTGAAAGTGTTATACCCTTATTTTTTAAATAGGCTGCTTTCATTCTGTTTCTTTGTGACTCTGTTAAAGCTATTTTGTGTTCACCATTTAAATCTTCATATGATAGTTTTATACTAGCATTAGTATCAGATTCAATTGCTTTTTTAATTTTTTCTTTCTGACTATCTGAAAGATTGATAAGAGTATCATAGTATTTTGTCATTTTTATATATAAAATAATTTTTTTAATTCATTTTAAGTTATTGCTTTCTGTAATGCTTTATAGTCATCATCATCTATTTGACCCTGTCGTAACAACTCATCACAAATAGCAACATTCTCATTTCTTTGTAAACCAGCTAAGCGTAATTTAAGCATCTCAAAAAGTGCATTTGGATCACTAGGAAGAATGACAACTCCTTTTCCAGACTTTCCAATCATCTCTTCCCAAATAGGTTTTATTACATTAGTGTACTTATAACTTCTAGATGATTTTGGTTTAGCTAAATTTAAATTAGAGCGAATTGCATCTGTTTGATCTAAAATTTCTTTATACTTATTACGATCATCGTTAGTATATCTAACAGGATGAGATTTTACTATAATCTCCCAAAGACCAGGTGTGCCAGTGTATTTTTTATCTTCAATAGTTATATCATTACCTTCAATAGTTATTGGTTTTTTACCAATGTAAAATTTTTTATCACCTTCATTGTAATGTATACCAAATATGTCATCTGATACTTTTTTACTATTTTTAGTAGTATATAACTTTAAATATTCTGTTGCGATAGGTCCTAACGACATTTTATCTACAACTTCAGGTGGCATGATTGCTTTAGTTTCAGAATCTAGTAAAGCAGGATAGCTTGAAAAAGTATTAGCAATTTGATTAGCTTTATTTTCTAATTTAGATATACCTTCTTTTATTCCAGATTGGCTATCTATTATTGGTTTGTACAATTTTTCCAAGTTAGTCTGTAAAGCATCATAACCTAACTTTTCATTTATATCATCTTGATATATACTTTTCTTTATACTAGCAAGTTCTTTTGCTATTTTTAATCTTGTATCAATATCTGTAGCTTTTGCATACATTTTTATATAAGCAATAATTTTTTTAAATCACTCTGTGATCCTCAGATCCCTAAAAAGATCTAAATCAACATATATTATGTTAGTAATACATAATATATGTTCAAGTAAATACATAATATATGTTTTTTTAATTTAATTTTTAAGAGTATTATTCATAATTCCTATACTTTGATTCTTATTAAATTTCATATTTAGCGCTTCTATAATATCATTTGTTCCTTTTTCTACTCCTTTATTAAATATTGACTTTTTAGTCTGCTCATCTATATCTTTCTTAGATTCTGTTCTAATTTATTCGACCATAGCTTGAAACTTTTAATATTCTGAAATTATCATTGTAAATTCTACATCATCGATAAAACCATCTTTTAAAGCTTTAGAAATACTATCGCTTATCGTATTTAATTTTGCATCAGCTAATACTTTAATCTTTTCATGCTTTTCTGATTTTTTATTATATATTTTAATTAATTGAGATCCTATTAATGTTAATACACCCATACCTAATGCTGAACCTTCACATGCAAAAGCTACTGGTGTTCCAACTATTGTTGTTAAAAAACCAATACCAACAGCTCCAAGTGTCATAGTAGTTGCATGTAATGAATTATCAACAACTGAAATTATTCTTACAGCTCTGTGATGTTTTTTACTCAACTTAGCTCTTTTACTTCTTTCACATTCTATTTTACCTTGAATTTCACTTATCTTATCTAATTGATATCGCTGATCAGATAGTGGTGGTGCAGTTGGATCAACTCTAAACTGGTTAAGATCTGGATAAAGCTGTTTACATTCATTATTACATTGCATTTCTTTTTTCTATAAAGAAAAATTTGTTTTAAATCACTTTTTACCAAAATCAAATAGAGCATTGTCAGATTTATCTATACTAGGTTTATCTTCATCACATATAGTTTCTTTAATTATTCCCCCTATACTTGATAATAAAGATTTTACAGATTCTTTATCACTTTTTGATCTAGATTCTACTTTTTTATCAAGTTCTAAAGCAGCTCTATGTGATATATGATTTGTATTAAAAACACCATTATAAGATGAAATACAGCATAACAAATCTCCTTTTTTAATGTTTATATCTTTTTTATCGTTATTATATAAAGTTATTTTAATATCATCAGTAGACTCTATTACAACAGAATTTAGTAAATTTAGTGTTGGTTTATAATTTTCTGCAAGTGAAATCATTACATGTCCTTTATCTATTTTAACTCCACACATTAAAGAAATACTATTATATGAATTTGATTTTACTGTAAAATTTTCTTGTGCAAATACTTTAATATGTCTATCATTTATTGCTCTATGTTCTAAATCTGAATTAATATTAAAAGTTATTGTATATTTTTCATGCTTTTCATAATCTAAAAACATTCTTCTCTTATACATTTTTTTAAAATGTAAAGATTTTTTTAGATCACTATAAATATAATACTTTTAAAGTATGATATTTTTTCATTTTTTTAAAGTTCTAACAATATAATTTAAAATACTTTCACCTTGATGTAAAAAATAACATGTTTTATCACTGTTATTTTTATATATTGTTTCTATTTCTCCTTTTTTATTTTTCTTTAATTTACTCTCTACTAATTTACATGGAGTATAATGACAAATTTCTACATTTTCTTCAATTTCTTTTTTAGAATGAGCATATTTGCAATTTATATTTTTACATTCTTTTTTATCAAGAATATATTTGCATAATTTAGTTTTAGCTCTTCTTAATTTAGATAATTCTGACTTTTTAGGATGAAATAATACACACTCTTTATTCCTACATTTAGGATAATCATAGCAAATATGAATATGCCTATATTGACATGAAGATTTAGTGCATATTAGTCTTTCCTTTACAGTATTACAATAAGGAATATCATGATTATATTTACATTTTCTTCCAAAAGGGCAGAAATTATCATTTAAAATATTTTTACAGAAAATGGGTAGTTTCTCTACAAAATGAATTGTTGAAGGTTTTCCATCTTCAGTAAAATTAATATCTACATTAAATGGTTTTTCAAAACTAAATTTTCTTTTTTTGTAATGTTTTTTAAAAGAAGTATTATCTATAGCAGGATAATCATCATTAATAACATTATAAGTTGGAACATAATTAATCCATTTCAGCTTATCTTTATGCAGTTCCATGATTTGAACTGTTTTTAAAGGAATTGGAACTATAGGTTTTTCTTTAACTTCATCTTCATCATCAGATGTAAAATAAGTAGCTTCATCAGTTGTATAATAAGTGTCATCTTCAGAATCTGATTCTTCAAATTCAAATTTTAATATTTCTTCAAAAAGTTTAAATTCTTTTTGAAATTCAGATATTTCATTAATCTCATCATCATTCATTTTTATTTTTATTATTTGTAAAATTATTTTAAATCAAAAAAATTAAAAATGAGTTAAATAATTTTCTTATGTATATAAAAGAAAATGGAAAATAAACTTGAAGAATTATTAAAATTAATAGATGAAAGATTAAGATTAATAGAAGAAAAATTAAATATTATTGATACTCATGATATTGAAATGACTGAAGATTCTGAAGTTACTACAGTTACTACTACTGAAGTTACTGAAATTACAGAAACTACTGAATATGATAATGATATTGAAATGACTGAAGAAGATGATGAAGATGAAGATAATGAAGATAATGAAGATGATGAAGATGAAGAAGTTACTACAATTACTACAGTAACTACTGAAATTACAGAAACTACTGAATATGTTAATGAAGATGATGAAAGTACACATAATTAAATATTTTATTTTTGTAAAAAAATAACAAAAATTGAAAATGAGTTAAATAATTTTCTTTTATATATAAAAAGAATGGAATTAGAAAATAATTTTGAGAATAATAAATTTTTAATAAAACCTTCATCTCAGGTATATTATATTAATGAAATATTAAAAAAATATGGGTTTAAACAGGGTAATAAGGTTGATTTTGCTGCAAAAATAGGTAGACTTGATCTAATTAAATTATTAATTCAAATAGGAGAAAAAGGGACAGAAAAAGCAATTGATTTTGCTTTAAAAAATAGTGACCATAAACTACTTGAATATTTACATTCGTTAGGATATAAAGGTACAGATTGGGCAATTGATTTTGCTGTAAAAAATGGTGACATTAAAGTACATAAATATCTATATTTATTAAAATATAATGGTACAGAAGATACAATTAATAATGTTGCAGAATATGACTACATTAAAGTAGTTGAATATTTAGATTCTATAAGATATACATGTATAAATTTAGTAATTAATTCTGCAATAATAGATAACCGTCTTGATGTACTAAAATATTTACATTCGTTAGGATATAGAGGAACAGAACATACAATTACTTGTACTGCATCAAATAATCTTGAAATATTAAAATATTTACACTCTATAGGATATAAGAAGTCTAAATGGATATTTAATTATGCTGCAGAAAAAGGTCGCCTTGAAGTAATTAAATATTTACATTCTATAGGATATATAGTAACAGAAGATACAATTAATGATGCTGCAGAAAATGGTCACCTTGAAGTACTAAAATATTTACATTCGTTAGGATATATAGGAACAGTTTATGCAGTTGAAAACGCTGCAGGAAATGGTCACCTTGAAGTAATTAAATATTTACATACAATAGGATATAAAGGTACAGAATATACAATTAATTATGCTGCAGGAAATGGTCACCTTGAAGTAATTAAATATTTACATTCAATAGGATATAAAGGTACAGAATATGCAATTGAAAACGCTGCAGAAGATGGTCACCTTGAAGTACTAAAATATTTACATTCGTTAGGATATAAAGGTACAGAATATGCAATTTCAACTGCTGCAGAAAATGGTCACCTTGAAGTAATTAAATATTTACATTCGTTAGGATATAGAGGAACAGAATATGCAATTTCAACTGCTGCAGAAAATGGTCACCTTGAAGTACTGGAATATTTACATTCTATAGAATAAAAAGGTATAGAAACAGCAAGAAAATCACGTGACCTGTGACGTCATTTTTCGACAAGAAATAAAAATTAACACTTATTTTAAAAAATTGAATTTTTTAAAATAAAAAAATTATTTCTTATCGAAATAATTTATATACAATATGGTTAACATTGAACCCTATATTAATATTAATATATGGTTGAAAATATGGTTGAAAATGAAAATGAGCTAGAACCGGCATATCCATACTACTCTTCTTCGTTTGTTGATGATCTAAAACCTTGCCTGATGTAACCTATATTTCTTGTAATTTTTATTTAGGACTTTCTGAGTGTTTTCGGATAATTATCCTATAGGTATAGCATAATGCTCTATTATTTTAGTACCATGTATAAGTACTTTATGGACCGAAGATGGTATATCATCGGTCCCAAACTAGCAATTGACATCATTTATTGTATTATCGTTCATGGTAACATCGTTCATGGTGACATCGTTCATCTTTCATGGTCATCGTTCATTGTCATCGTTCATGGTAACACATCGTTTATGGTATTGAGATCAGTCCCAAACTAGCAAACAAAACGCTTTATACAAATGCTACAGTTAGAGATTTTTTAGTACAGGCTCTAGTTCCAACGAATTATCTTCTAAACTATCTTTTCCAGAGTTTGAAAAAGCTCTCAAAACTTTTTAAAAAACTAAATTATCTGGAGCAGATGACATAAACAGTAATATAGTAATAGAATATTTTGAATACTTAAAAGATATTTTATTTAAAGTCTATGGAGCATCTATACGCCAAAGAGTTTTTTCTGAACAACTAAGAATTGCTAAAGTTAATCCAATTTAAAAAAAAGGTGATCAAACAAATATCATTAATTATCGCCCTACCTCTGTCCTCTTTACATTTTCAAAAATAGTTGAACGTATTATGTACAATAGATTATACAATTATCTTTATTCTAATAATTTTTTATATAACTATCAAATTCGGCTTTAAAAGAAATAAATCCACAGAACATGCAGTTATCCAATTTGTACGTGAAATCTCTAATTCTTTTGGAAAGTCTAAGTATACATTAGGTGTTTTCGTCGACTTTTTGAAAGCATTTGATATTATAGATCATGAAATTTAACTGCACAAGCTAAAATATTATAAAATAAATTGCAAAGTTATAAATTGGTTCAAAAGTTATCTATCCAACCGTAAATAATTTGTTTTCAGCAATAATGTTCATCCAAATAAGTTTCTAAATATTTTATGTGGCGTTCCCCAAGATTCCATTTTTGGACCACTATTGTTCTTGATTTATATAAACGACCTAAATAAAGCCTCGAACTTAATGAGTACCATGTTTGCTGATGACACTAACTTATTCTTTTCCGATAATGACATTTACAAACTCTTCTATACTATGAATGACAAAAAGTATATTGATTTAAATGCAACAAATTAACTCTTAACATTAAAAAAATAAATTGGGTTTTTTTCCACCCAGTCTCAAAAAAAGGTTTTTTACTACAAAATTTTTACAAATAATCAGTTTTTAGGGATCCCTACTCATGATCCACTTTTTGTTAAAAACACAGAGGTTTTAAAAAAGTACAAAAAGTGCACATATTACCCAGACCACTTAGTAATATGAGCACTTTATATCAGCTCAAAAAAATAACAATAATTAACTAAAAAATTCCAACCTGTCAAGTATAACTAGTTTTTGGAATATAATGATTCGTTATTAACAAAATTTATCGTTAAAAGATCAAATTTTGAGCCACATTTTGTTGTTTTAAGCAACAAAAAAAATTAGTTTGTTACTTTTTCAATTTTTTTTTTTCAAACAATAAAAATTTAAATTTTTTGAATTTAAGGTGGTACTACCCTACATTTTTTATTTTTCAAAATCTGATATTTTTCTTAAAATGATAAACATTTTTCGATAGTAGTTAAAAAACTAAATATAAAAAACATCATTTTTTTACTTATTTGTGACAAAAAAATGCTGAGTCAGCAAAAAATAGCAAAAAACATGCATTCACAAGAACAGAGTAATATTTGAGATAAAAACTTTAAATTTTAGAAACATATAGCTAAATGGTTGGTGGAGGGTCCTTAGTAGAATTTTTTGAAAATACAAAGCCAATATAAAATGGCAGATATTAACCTGTAAAATTCATAAAAAATGGTTCGTGGGTTATGTAAAAATTTAAATTCTGGTCAAAATAAAAAATATTTTTTGATTATTCTACTACCAGCCCTTTCTACAATATCAATGAACAAACTGTGAAAATTTCAAAGAAAAAGAGTTAGTAATTTCTGAGATATCAATGTTCTAGTTTTAAAATATTTTATAAATATTATTCTGAGAAAAATAGCTTTTAAAATAAAAAATGTCATAAACTAAAAAAATCTCTAATTAAAAAACATTTAAACTGACCACAAAAATATGATTAACCACCTTTAATATTTTGTTCTGTGTCAAAATGACCTTTTTATAATACCAATGAAAAAATTGTGAAAATTGGGCAAACATATAAACAGACATGGTTGCTAAGGCCGTTGCTAGGGATTTGAAAATTACCTTAATGCCTTTAAATACTAATTTAAGTACTTTATAACATTTTTTTATAGGAAAAAAAATTATAATCGTGATTCAGGATGTTCAAACTGTTAAAATTTGGAAAAATTTTAACAGTTTTTAATAATAATCAAAAATTTTTTTTTTTTTTTGATGTTTTTAATAGGGTAGTACCACCTTAAATTGCAAAAAAATATTTAGTATTGTTAAAATATTAAAATTTTCTACTATGGTTTTTGTTTTTATTTAAAAAAGGAATTAAAACCACTGCTATTTTCGAACTTTAAACAGGCATTTTTAATGAAAAACACTGAGTAATTTGAGCATGCTCATATTACACAAAAATGACATCTTTGAATAATGTCAAAACTAAATGTTTCTATGCATTATTTTTCAAACAAAAATATTTCGCGCCACAGATTTAATCATGCGTGATGATATTATTTTAACAACGCAAAAAACTTAACAGAGTTTTAATTAGATAAGAGCCGCTAATTACTGCATACAAATTTACACATATTACACTGATTCCTGTTTTCACCGCATAAAGTTGATTCAAAAAATACAAAGTAACTTTAACTTCACTGCTTACATTTAAGAAATCTTTAAGTATGTTTATACTACCAAGGCGCGCATGTTGCCCTAATCTACCCAATATTAAGAAAAGTACAGAAAATATACTGACGTTATTTATGGCAGCAGACAGGTAAGGGATTAAAGTATTACATAGATTCCAAGTGTACTAGTTACACTTATAAACCAAAAAAAAAGTGGTTATGTATTTGTTTCACATTTTATAATTATGGTTTTACCATAATTTATAAAAGTTCAAAAGGTTGTGTTACCCTCCATAAGAGTTTATTTCTGTGTCAAAAACACAAGCTGAAAATAAAGTTTAAGTCATATTGACTTAAGTAAACGCTCAGTTGTTTTATTTACACAAAGTGAACATATCAAATTGAAACACAAAGTCTATATCTCAAAAAAGCACTTTCAAATTTGTCACTTACCTTAATAAGCAAACGGGGTTGAGACGGAAGTTCTGGATATAGTATCTACAAACAAAGATTTAAGAACTTCGATGCTAAAAATGAGTATCTCTTAGTTTTCATTTTGTTCTGATGTAATCTTTTAAGTTTATTTGCTTTCATTTCGTCTTTATAATGGACTAGTTTAACAAATATAGTTCTTGTCTATTTTTTCTCTTTTTTTTCCTGTTGTGTAAATTTAATATTCATTTTTTCAGTGTCATCCCAATTTTAGAATTCATTTTCAGTAACTCCACTAAATCAAACTTTTAAATTTCTCCTAGCAGCTTAGCAACAAAAAAAGGCCCTCTCTATGCCCCCTCCTCTGCAAAAATTTTATCCGGCCCCGTAGTAAATTAATTTTCTTTCCCTCACCCCACCCCCTCCTCCTTGAAAAAAATTTTATAGATAAAAACGTAAACCTTCTTAAACATAATTTTAATTTAATGAAATAGATGTCAGTATGTTACAACTTGTTTCTCCGCGCAGCGGCTTGTTCCTTTGTTTTAATTCTTTTTAATGTGATGAAAGATCTTTTTGCAGTGGCGACGCTAATGAGTAATGTCAAACATAGCATAAGTGCTGCGATTATATAAGTAAATGAGTAACTTATACTAAAGCATTTTATTGCGGGCACAATTAAAATGTGGAAATGTGCAAATTTTCAACGTGTAAAATGCGGGAATAAAGATTGCTGCCTCTACAAAAACCTTTAATTGTGCAGCATCACTCCTCATTTTCTCCATAAACTAGTGGATGTATGCACTAAAGCTCCTAACCCTAAAATTTAAACTAAAATGTGTGTCACTGACCGTATATTATTTAACCACTTATGAATATATATATATAATTATAGACTAGATTTTAATTAACCATTTAAAAAGATTTTCAATAACAACACTTCAAAGTCTTCTACGAGTTTCCTAAATAACAATGAAGAAACATGATATTTATTATTGATATACATTAATTAGGGTAACGCGGGGCAAAATGAGACAGCGGGGCAATATGAGACAGTTCGCTTTTAACATGATGCCAGCCCTACAAATTATTATTTGCAAGATTTTTAAAAGTGCAGTTGTGTTCAAAAACTATTTTGTGTCAAGAAAAATATATTGAGTCACTTTGAAATAAAAAAGTTGAATAAAAGGGGAATCATCTAATCCCTCGGCTTCGCGAAAATTACGAATTTTTAAGTGTTGTTATTATATTTTTTCCTAGCCTTTTTTGATCTGACTGAGTGAAAAAGCTTTTTATATTTAAAGTTATTTTTATTAGAATCTTTAGGCCTTTTTCTTTCATTTCCATTTTTTGGTATTTTATTTTCTTCAATAAAATAGTCTGGAAATTAGGTTTTTCGATGCTAACATGAAGCGGGGCAAAACGAGATACTCTGTTTGTATTTTTTTTT